TCATCACGACAATGCTCCGGCGCACACTTCCCTGTTAATTCGTGATTTTTGCGTGAAAAATCACATGACCGTACTTCCTCATCCACCATATTCTCCCGATTTGGCACCAGCAGACTTTTTTTTATTTCCAAAATTAAAATATCCGTTAAAAGGACAAAGATTTTCTACGATAGACGAAATAAAAGAAAATTCGCTAACGGAGTTACGAGCAATTCCAGAAACCGCTTTCCAGGATTGCTTTCAACAATGGAAACGTCGTTGGCAAAAGTGTATTAACCAAGAGGGAGAATACTTCGAGGGTGATAAGTCTCAATAGCTTGTAAGTAAGCACCATAAATAAAAAATTGAAAAATTCGGGAACTTTTTGAACAGACCTCGTATCTTGATCAGAGAAATGTGAATCAATCTTAAAATTAATATCAAATATTTTTCGTAAAATTATATACACAGGTTGTTCAAGATTTTTTGTGAATACATATAGATGTTTGTAATCAACCCAATACTCTGTGATAATGTTTCTTAACCCTTTATAGGGCACAGAAAAAAATAAAATACGATTTCTATCAAATTTTCAAATTTACTTCTTAACAGAAATTCGTAACTTCATTTACATTGATAAAAAAAGGGTGGGAAATAATTTCCCGCTTAATATCATACTACAATATTTTTTTTAATTTTAACTATTTTTATGCCAAAAAATGTATATATGACATGCTAAATAGATATTTAATTGTATTTTAAGATATATGACACCTGAAGATACAAATCTTTTCAACTGATAAATAAAATTCTTATGATATTATAGTTAACCTTATAATTTATTATAATAATTAAACAAACAAAAAATAATTAATAATTAAAAAAAAAAATTAAAACCTTTGTAGAATAATCTTGATTCACATTTCAGATTTTACATTACATAAAATTATAATAAAAAATAAATAAAATCAACTTTTCAAAATAAAATTATGAGATTAACTTGACTTAGATAATTCAATTCAGTCTACAAAATGAAATTAACTTTCTAAAAAAAAAAAATATCAACTGTAGTAATAGGCCATTAAAATCAATAAAATATACTAAGTTTTATGGTACTCAGAAAAACAATCTTTGCAAAAAACCTTATTGCAAGTTGAACACATCATATTAGATTTTTTGTCATGTTTTTTGGTACTACATCTAAAACAGCGTCTGTATTTAAAAATTTTAGTTGCAATATGAGATTCAATGGTTGAAATTACTGAATGTATTGTATATTAATGTCTGAATCTATTGCCATATCATCTTTTATATCAAATAACTCATATAATATATCTTGATCCTTAAGTTTATAATCCATCTGCAATTAATGTAAAAATTAAATAAATTATTCATTAAAAATTCACAATAAAGTGAAAATATTAAGTTTGTGGTGTATATAATACATTTACTGTATATATATATTGATTCCTTATGACTTATTTGTTAAATTGAGTTCCTAACAGTAATCTATCTTCTGTTGTAGTCGTTTTAGTTTGAGTAAAAAAATATTGACATGAAAAACGTGTCACGAAAAATTAATAATAATAGTACTTACAGTATGATATGATATTTCATTATCACACGAAAATAAATACCAAAAACTTATCTATTTAATCATACTGATTACAAATAAATTAAACGATTTTATCAACAATAAATTTCAATTCAAACAAAACTATAAATAACTCTCGGAATAATCAGATACTGTGAATGAGCAGTGGGAAATTATTTCCCACCGGGAACGTTTTATTTCAATAACTCATTACTAGAGTGTGCTAGGGTAAAAATACCTATATAATAATAAACGCAGAAAATTTTGAACATTCGTTTTATATAAATGAGAAATTATTTCCCTAAAATCACAAGCTACGGTATTTTTTTGCTAAATTGGGAAATAATTTCCCTCTACCCTATAAAGGGTTAACAGAGTTGTCTTACCAGAACCAGACCCTCCCACAATTAAACACCGAATAGGATCAGGAAGTATAGAATTATTTGAGGTTTTGATATCAAAAGGATAAAGCTTGAAAATATATTTTTTCATGTTTATTACAGAGTTTTTAAATATTCAAGAATATTTAAAAGAGATACGACTATGAAATATCAAGATAAAAGTCCTTCATTCAACTCAAAACTGATTTAATGTTTTTTTGTAACCATTACTAAATGTTTCTAGACCTTTATAAATTAAAGTGAACTTTACCGGATTCGAGTTCATTTTTTCAATATCTTTTTCTGTAAATTTTTTAGCAAAGTGGTCTGGTAAAATTACTCTTGTTGCGTGCCGTCGCTCAATCGTATTTGATAGTTAAGTTTTTAAGGATAATACTTCAATAAAAATACTCAATTGTAATTTAAACTGTTTATTTAGTATAAAAACATTAATATAAGAAATAATGTGGCGTGAAGGTGCTTGCGTCTTTACCTGTAAACCACATCTGAATATTGGTCTGTTCCCAACCCCCTTATATACTTAGGTTTGGTGAAGATCAAACGTGCCGCGCTGGGCGATAGTTGTTTTCAACTATATTAAATAATTTGTCACTAGCCCGCTATTTATTACCTAGATGACCTCATTCGCACATATTCCATATTTGTCGCGACTTTTTCCCAGTTACATTTCTACATATAACCATGCGATTCACATATAATATATGTACTTGTTTACCTTCTGACTTTTAACTAAAATTCATTTCTATTTTTACGAATGCGAATATTGTGTTAATAATAATCATTTTCTTGATATCTACTATTTATGATCTACATGGTCCCGTCCATGTCGTATGAGTCGTAAGGACCTACATTCATTTATGTCCGCAACACTCTTAATTTGGAATCTAAAATAACTAGTACTTTCGGACCATACATTGTCTTTATAATTTCAAATCTTGTTACCGTATATTTTTTTTCGAGTTCCAAGTCTCTTAATGGGTTTTTTTTTTTGGTTTGAATTTAAAAGTGTTTTGTAGTTTTCCATTTATAATACCTACAATTTTTTTTTTTTTTTTTAAAAATTCAATTTCTTTTAAAATTTGAAATATTTATACGTTTACTATTTTTTCTCTTGAGGTTGCTTGTCTATTAAATCGAGATAAAAAATTGGGTTATTGAATTGAAGAAATTCGTTTCCGTCTTTCTCGAAAATACTGATGTTTATAGTTTTTATTATTTTTGGGCTTACAGGAACGTAAAATATTTTCTCTGGTTTTACGAATAATTTATTCGGTTCTTCCTCTACATGGTGAGTATCATTGACTGAGGAAAATTATTTTTCCACTATATCACAATGAACTTCTAACACTTTATTTTCCATCACAATTGGAGAGATTCCTTTTGCTATAAATTCTGTAATATATTCAACACCTAAAGAATCACATAATTGTTTATCGAATTTAAAATAATGGTCAGATTTGACTAATATCTTATGATCTACAATATTTAATTGCACAGTTTTTGGATTGTTCAATCGAGTAATCAGTTTTGTTCAGGGTATATAACATTTTCTCTGTTTTTATTGAACCCTCAATATCATAGAAAATGCTTGTAAGTTTTATGTTCGGAGATTTTGTTCCTAAAATTTTACTATTATTTACCGGTATAAATGGATCATTATTATTGCTATCTTACTCAAACCCTAAAAATGTTGACAAATCCTTATCAAAACTGAACTAAGCAAATGTATTAATTTTAAGAATATTATTTTCCAGATTTATTTCTGTAGTATTTGTGTGAGCACCAAAAATATCTAGTGTATTAATATATTTCTCGAATTGTTTGATTGTATAATAATTTTTGTTCAATGTATACTCGCTTATGTGTTCTTTCCACATCACTTCAAAAGAACAATCTCTTTCGATATTTAAACAGAGTTCTTGTTTAAATGGTTTTTTAACTGGTATTGAATAATCTAATTTTTTATATTCGATATTCAAATATTTACAGAAATGCTCATCTAAATAGTAGTAAGTATCACATGTTATTGTAACCACATTATTCTCGGAAAGACTTATCACAACAGGATTATTTTTTTTGTTTAATTGTTCAATCGTGTATTTTCCTTGTTCCACATTAACTATTACACCACCAATTATTATTACACTATCTGTTTTAATTCTAATTAAATTATACTTTAAACCAGTAAATGTTAAAGCCTTAAGACCTAGTTAAAAAATGACCAGTATTAACTAAAGGCTGCTCCAAAAGTATATTCTGATTTTTAATTTTTATCAAAACCATCTGTTATTTATAATATATTATATTATTATTATTATAATTAAAAACGAACCGGATGACGCGTATGTATGAGCGATAACGAATGTAGGTCATGAGTGACGTCACTCGTATGATATTTGCGTAGTTTAAATAATATAGAAAAACCATGCGTGGATAACCGAGAGTCGTGGCGCGCTCGGTTAAGGCGTTAGGCAGATGCGTATTTAGACACAGGCCCTGTAGGCCTAGGCCTAGAGCGGAATAATTATATGAAACGCAAATTATATGAAAAGATCAACAAATTAATTTTAACTTAAAACTAATCAGTAAATTCATTTTATGTGAAAAATATCAACAAATTATTTTTAAGTGAAAAATATTAAAGTGTGCCAGAATTGGCATATATATACTATTTATATATATATATATATATTATTAACAAATTTTGATAAGAAATATGAACGCCTCTGATTGGTCGCGCAATTTTGCTCCCGAGACGCTCGTCAATAACGGCATTGTGCGTCGGACAATCAGACGATAAGAAAAATATTTCGAAATACAATGATAACCAATTGATATCGCTTATCGTATTAACAAAACCACAGATATGTATAATAAACTAGATTGCTAACTGATGATAAGATGTGAAGTCATTATCCGCCATTTTAATCGAGGCCGATGTAGATTTTGCCTTATCAATTTTTATCATTAATTGTCAGTTGTGCATTTATTTAGAAATTATAATAGTTTATACTATATTTCCAATCATGCCATATAAATGCTGTGTTGATGGATGCCGTTGCAAGGACGGGGTTGTTGGTTCAACTACGAAATTATTTAGGTAATTAAATACTCAACACATAAATCATGTCACCTCACGAAGATTCTCTTTTTCAATTAAATGGAAATATAAAGCACCAGAACAAAATTTAGAAAATGAACTTGATATTTCATTGTTACCAGAACAGTACAATAAATTAGATTTTAATAGCATCACTGAAAATATATTATACTACATATGTGGATATATTGTTAAAAAACTAATCCCAACTTTAAAATGTGATGGTTGTATTGAAGCCATTATAGAACCATTAATTGAAAATGATCACATTTATCAAAATAATGCCACACCAAAAAATTTTACAATTATGAAAAACAGAGGTGGTTTGAAGTATGCTTCTGATGGGGTGTACAAAATTGTTAAATTGTCAGAAACATTATTTAAAACCATTATGGTGGACAAAAAACAAATGTTTATTAAAAATATGGATTTAAAAATTATGATAAGTTTACAAAACTCATTAGCGACAAACGCTATACTATTTCCAGAATGTGATACTTGCTGGAATTCAACAGATTTATTGGCAAGACCTCACAAAATTGACATTATAAACAAAGTAACCAAAACCTACCTTAAAGTGAGATTATATTCTTATAGTAATATAATAACATCCTCGATTATGAAAACTGCTAGTAAACAACAGAAACTCAGTAAAACCATTTTATTTTATAACATGTAAAAATTGTTAACCTATCAGAATAAACTATGTTAATAATTGTTATTTATATTTAGATGGAAAATTTATATAAATGAGAAAAATAAAGTGCAATAAAAATGTTTTTTGTTTGGATACTTGTTCTATAATTAATTAATTTTTTTTATCAGTTTCTTTATCAAACAAATCTAAGGCTGTGATAAAGCCTATAGGCCTCGAATTAAATGGCTGCCGTCTGCTTCAACTAATCACATGAGTAAGATGCAACAGTTAGCAATCTAGTTTATTATACATATCTGTGAACAAAACAAATACACTAGATGATAACACACATTAACCTATAAAACCTTGGGTAGAAAACGCTTTTTATTTATGAAACTTTAAATGATAAAAACAAATATATATTTGAATTCCTTAATTCTTTACTTATTTAAACGTGATAGTGAACCTTTTAAGATGAACGTAAAAATTTTGGTATGGGCAGCTGCCAACCCTGCCGTACGTTAGAACCGCCACTAAGTGTAGATCTATAAGTGAATATATATACTAAAAAATATAAGTATTATACTATTATAGTACCTATAAAAGGCAAAAGCCAAGTGGACCAAAATCAAAAAATATTCGTTTCAAGTTTTTATTTTTCTGTTAATGCAACTGTCATCAGAGTTTTATCTGGTTTAGTTATCATTATCATTTATCACAAAAAGAGTTTTACAACGTATACTATTCAGTATATTCATATACCTTATACTCATAGACGGAACAAGCTAGTAGTTCCCGCGGCAAACGGTGGCTGCGCTGTACATCTTGTTCCTTACTTCTGCGCATGCATGTAGAACAAACCAGGTTGTGTTTACATATACTGCGATATTAATTATTATCGTATGATTTGTATCGTATATTCGTATTATCAAAAGTATCATCGTCAACATAAATATTTACTATTTAGTATTTACCTAGTACCTACGTCTACTACAATTATAGGCTACTATAATATATAAATGATTAATTTAACTGTTATTAAAATAATGCACCTACTTAATATAATTGACATAATTTTAACCCTCCGTTGGGCGCATGAGTCTGGTTAGACCTTTTCTGATTTTAATTACAGTTGAATTATATTTTTAAATAAGATAGCGACTTAAAATTTTGTGTACCCTCCTACAGTGTTATTTACTATTACTCTATGAAAAAAAATATTGGGAAAACCCAATGTATAGATAGTTATAAGAATATTATGGTATACATATCATATTCGTGCCACATGAGTCTAGCCAGACTCGTTTATATTATACATGACAAATAGTATATTTATACACATTTTATCGTTGTTTTTATCATTAGAATCAGTTTAGTGCATTCATGTGAACAAAAAACACGACGCGTAATTGTTTACTGAGTATATTTTGTGGTAAATTAATTTTTTTTTAGTTTTATACTTCTAAAAATTTGATTTTTTTGTTCAAAATGAACTTTAAAAATGAAGTGGAATTTATTTATAATACGCGATCACGCGACGGTCATATTGATACAGCATTTTATGAAAGATTAGCAACAGCTTTGGTGAATGATATTGAACGTGAAAGAAATGTTGAAGAGAGCGAAGAAATTGACGAAATCGAATTATTTCCTGCCGACGATGACGATTGTGATGTTGATTATGTACCAAACGAAGATGATGCATCAGATATTGAGAATGAAGTGATTATCGAACCAAATGATTTAGTTGACAGTGATGAAGAATTTACGGAGTCTGAAACTCAAAACTTATGTACGAGTACTTCTGAAGAGTGTTTCTATGGTAAAGACGGTACAAAATGGGAAAAAAATGAACCAAACACTGGTGTTCGCATTCGTCAACACAATGTTATGCGTTTTAGAAGTGGACCTAAGGAACGAAATTCTGTCCCAATTGAGGTATTCAAAAAGTTTTTTACTCCTGATATTGCATTCATTATCATCACTGAAACGAATCGTTATGGAAAAGATTCAATACAAAAATGGAATGCGTCTAATCCGGGTCGAAAAAAAAAAGTTTGGAAGGATGTCACTGAGAGTGAATTAGACGCGTTTATTGGAATACTTTTGGCAGCTGGTGTTTCACATAATAACACACAAAAATCAGAAGTTTTGTGGCGTACAGATGGCCTACCGATATTCAGAGCAGCTATGTCTCATAAACGTTTCCTTTTATTGACAAGATACATTAGGTTTGATGATGGACGCACACGTCCATTCCGTTTGCAAAGTGATAAGGCCGCACCTATTCGTGATATTTGGAATTATATGAATGAAAATCTAGCAAAAAACTATAGTCCATATGAAAATATAACTATTGATGAACAGCTCTTTCCATATCGTGGTAAAACCAAATTTACTCAATATATACCATCAAAACCAGCCAAATATGGTATAAAAATTTGGTGGGCCTGTGATTCGAAAACAAAATATCCATTACAAGGAAAACTATATACAGGTCGACAAGAAGGAAATGAACGTGAAACGAATCAAGGTGAGAATGTCATGCTACAACTCGCAAAATCATATAGTAACAGCGGCCGTACAATTATCGCAGATAATTTTTTTACAACATTAGAAGGCGCAAAGCGACTAACCAAAATCGGTCTTGCATTCGTTGTTACCATTAGGTCTAACAAAAGATGTATCCCTGAAGAAATGAGAAAACATCCTTCACGTCCAGTTTTGTCATCTCGTTTTGGATTTAATGATAATTTGGTTTCAATTTGCAGCTACGTGCCAAAAAAAAAATAAATGTGTAAATTTGCTTTCTACCGTACACTATACAAAATATTGTGAAGCCAAAAAACCCGAAGCAATTTTATTTTATAACAAAAATAAAGGAGGCGTCGATTGCATGGACCAAATGGTTACTCATTTTACATCAAAACGAGCCACAAAAAGATGGACTTTTGCATTTTTTTGTAACATGTTAGATGTTATGGCATTGGCTGCATTTTGTATTTGCAAAGAAATTGATGGCACCAAAAAATCTGATGCAAGACGGAATTTTTTATGGATGTTATCTAACACTTTGGCTCTTCCAAATATTGAACAAAGAATGCAAAATGTTCACAACAACAAACAGTTTAGTTCTCGTTCGGCTTTTGAATCGTTTTTTGGAAGACCAATGAATGTAAGTATTCATATTCAATTACATTTATATTTGCCGTTTAGCTTCTTGTCTCATTTTTTCTGTTTTCGTTTCTTCTTTTGTATCAGACCACATCAGAAATAGTAACTAGCGTTAGCGGAGCTGATACATTCGATAAAAAAAAATATTGTAAAATTTGTTCTCAAGGAAATGAAAAAATGCGGCGAAAAACTCGTTTTTTTTGTACAAAATGTTTAAGTGCAGTATGCCAACAACACTCAAAAGTAGAATATATATGTTTTAGTTGTGTTAAAGAAACAAAATAAAATATAGTATGTAAAAACAAAATTAAGTATTATTTTCACATTTCACGATTTTTTTCTTAATTCTTTATCGTTATACAAATAATTCGAAACGTAAAATATGTAATAAATTAAAAAAAATTAAAATAATTTCTTACATGGTGTATAAATAAGTTACAAAAATGTAATACATGCGTTTAAAGACAGAAAAAAGTTTATGGGTCTGGTCAGACTCATGTGCCACGAATATGTTTCTCGGGATATGTGCTCAACGGAGGGTTAAATCTTGATATCTGCGAACTTACCTAATATATTCTGTTGATTCTTTTTGAATTATATAAGTTAATCAACAGCAACTATTTCTACCTAAAAGGAAATGCTGTATATTCGATAAAAGTATCTTAGATGAAATATTGATAGAAGATACGCGATAACACCCGTAAGATGAAATTGAATTTCGGGGAGGTTCGGGGGTTGTACAAAATTTAATTTTGGTTGTACAAAATTGTACAAAATAAAGTACATAATACTGTACGGTTTAAAGTTGAAATTTGAGAAAATTAGTTGATCCGGGTGCTGGTGTAACGTTACCCCAGCAGCCGTAAAATGAAATTGAATTTCGGGGAGGTTCGGGGGTTGTACAAAATTTTACAAAATTTAATTTTGGTTGTACAAAATTGTACAAAATAAAGTACATAATACTGCTTGATTACAATTCATGATTTCGAAAGTGCGGGTGCTGGGGTAACGCACCTTTAGAAACAGAATCACAAAAAATAAAAGGTATACTATTTTTTTTTTTTTTTTTTTTTTTTATACATTTTAGAATATAAATTAACAATTTTGTTTTACTTTAATAAAATAAAGAATTTAAAGAAGACATACTGAACAGTCCTTACCACATTTTGGGACAGCATGAAAAATGTGCAGCATATTTTTGTAAAAAAAATAATACTGAAGAAAATCGTCCCAGAAGCAGAAAAGTGCGGCCTAATGGGTGAAATGTCGATAATAATAAAACGAGTTGTTGACCATGCAAGCAGTCTTATCCTTAATGTTACCAATAATGTGTGCGAGCAATTTAACAGTGTGGTTAATAAATAAATATATTGGTGGAAAGATAATAAATTTTTCATTAAAACAGTCTTACAATACAAGAATAAGAGCTGCAATCATTTCATTTAACTCAGGAGGTTATTTTTTAAGAGCGATTCACAAAAATATTATGAAAAAAGTCCAGGTAATGAATTAAAATTGTTTCGTGTTTTTGCCAAATGTTAAATTAATAAAACAAATAGTCATGTGTTTTTCATTATGTTTTATTATGTTTCATTGTAGTTTACATTATTATTTACATACTACATAATTTTTGATTATAGTCGTGGTAGGAAAAAATTTTCTAGCAATGAAAAATAAAAATAATGTGTACTGTGTCAAAAGAAGACTTCAATTTCCAACGTGGCGTGCGAAAAAAAACAAATGTACCGGTCTTGATGAATTTTATGGTCTTGCAGAACCTTTAGTACCAGAAGAAAGGATGACCACTCAGCTCATGATAGAATAAAAACAACAATTTATTAAAAATTTAATATTGACACAAAAATGGTATTCTGAAAGGCAAAATCGACTAATAGCGTCCAATTTCGGAAAAATTATTAAAATGAGACCCACAACATCATGTAGGAACATAGTTTATAAATTACTATATAATTCATCTACTTTTATTAGCAAAGAGCCAGTACAATGCAGGTATGGAAAAATTATGGAAAAAATGGCTATTGAAAAATTTGAAGAAGTGACAAATTTAAAAGTAAAATCATTTCGGGTTGTTTATAGACAATATATTACCATATTTAGGAGCATCGCCAGGTAAATAAATTTATATTTATATTTAATTTAAAAAATGTAATTTATTTCAGATGGAATTATAGATAATAACACAATTTTAGAAAATAAATTAAGTAAATAATTACTTACTAATATATTATTAAATTATTTTTTAGGTAACATATTTAACTCAAAATGAAAATGGGCAAATATTAATAAAAAGAGATCACAACTATTTTTACCAAATTACTGGTCAGTTGTATGTAACAAAAAAACAGTATTATTATTTTGTAGTATTTACAAAACAATGGATACATATTGAGAAAATAAAATATGCTCTTAACTTTTGGTATGAAAATATGGTACATTAATTAAAAAAGTAAAAATATTTTTTTAAATTATTTAAATAATAATTTATAATTTATATTTTTAATTAACATTAATTCTTTCTTTAATAACAAAATAATTACATTTTATACTATAGATTTAACTGTGAATGTATTTTTCCAGAAATCATAGACCCGCAGTATGGAAAAAAAATGTCGAAAAGTGATATAATTGAACCGGATTTCATTATAAAACCACAACAAAAAAAATTGTTTAATGTTTAAAATATAAAACAACGTCATACATAACATGAATAATATTAAAAATATTTTAATTTTAAAATACCTAAATGTCTTTTTAGTATTAAATTTGGTAGTGTTTAAATTAATTAATTATCAATATACAGTAAAACTCGCTTAAGACGCTCTTTAAGGGACCAGCTCTCTAGAACTTCTTAAGCGGGAAAGCGTCTTATGCGGGAATAAAAAAAAAAAATGATGTGATTGAAATATCGAGTTTATTTTTTTATTATTAAACATAATTTAATGGGTAATACACTTATAAATTAATTACAATTACAATATTCATACTCATATTTTTGTGCTACTGATTTTAATTTAAAAAAATATTATTATTACATATTTTATTATTGTTTATTAAAAAAATTATCTATTTTTGACTGTTTAAGGTTCTGACAATGCGTTTCAGCAAGAAAGTTTTCAATTTTATTAAGACAACCTAACATTTCTTCGGAATTTTCAACAGAGGATAATACTTTCCGAATTTCCGATAGATGTTGCAAACCAGAAGAAATTGTAGGAGTAGATACTGGAAAGTCTTGATCTTCTTCTTGATCGTCGTCTTCTTTCTCATTCTCCACTAAGTTTGTATCAGCGATTATTTCATCTAAAGTCCGAGTGCTACTGGTTACGAGTTCATCATCTATTGTTGCATAATCAGCAAAATTTTGCAGAAGTTGAAAGTCCTCTTCTTTTAAAGGTGAGCTATCAGCCTGTTCAGAGTTGTTCAAAACAACAAATATAGCTTTTCGAAAACAGTTTATTATTACATCTGGTTTAATTTCATCCCAAGCGGCACTAATGTAATGTATGGAGTCCAAAACATTAACTTTGGCTGAAATTTGGTCGGTACTCTCCATGTCTCTCAAGTACCGCTGAACTAACTTTTTTCGGTACTTTTGTTTTATCACTTTAATGATACCCTGATCTAGAGGTTGTAACTTAGATGTAGTATTTGGTGGAAAGAAAACAAGCTTTATATTGGTAGTAGGGATATCTTTAGGGTGAGCTGGACAATTGTCGACGAATAGAATAATTTTTCTCTTTTGTTTACCGAAAAGTACATCTAGCTGTTGAATCCAGTTCATGAATAGTGTTCCTGTCATCCAAGCACGACTTTGAGCAAGGTATTCACATGGTAACGTACGAACATTTTTGAAACAGCGAGGAGACCTACTTTTTCCAATGACGACCAACTTCAATTTATGGGTGCCTGTAGAATTTGTACATACTAAGACCGTGAGTCGTTCCTTGCTCAACTTTCCACCATAGCATGTCTCATTTTTAAAAACAAAATACTTATCTGGCATAAGCTTAAAAAACAATCCGAATTCATCAGCGTTATATACATCGTCAGGAGCATAATCTCGCAGTAATGAAGGCAACACGTTATTTTCCATGAAGCTATATCATCATTATTAACAGATTCAGCCTCACCTGAAATTACTACTCCGAAATCTATCCATCCAACCAGTCGATCCACTAAATTCGGTTAAGTTAAGACGTGCGGCAATCTCCATTGCCTTTTCCATGATTACATCTCCACAAGTTCTTAAAGTAGAAGGAGGTATCCCCAGTTCATTAGCAATATCCTTTTGTTTTTTTTTCCAACCAATCCTTCATCGTACTTCTTCAAAATGTTGAGTTTGGCCGAAATTGATAGCGCTTTACGTTTTATGCCACTAGCCATAACGAAATTACGATTATACACATGCGAACGATCAGCACTTACTAAATCTCATAATACGATGAAATACAGTGAAACTGTTATAATAAGTATTGATAAAATAGGTATAGCGATAAAATAAAACGATAAGAACACGTATAATACTAAAAGTTCTATTTTTATTTTCACAAAACTACTAAAATTTATCGTAATCTACTGAACAAAAGAGCGTTTTACCCGATTAGACAGAGAAAAACTGAGTGTCTTAATAGGTGGTTTTTACATTGACTAGTATAGAAAATGTCTAGGGACCGACGAAAAACAGCGTCTTATACGGGAAAGCGTCTTAAGCGAGTTTTACTGTAGTTATAATTTTTAAGTTCAATTGTTTGGTTAGAACTTCCCTATTGTGTTATTACGGTTATTATAGATACCTCGCATTAATATAATGTTAAGAACCCCTGTTATATTAGTTAGTAAGCAGAATAGTATTATGTATATTATATTATAATTATACGTGATTGTTTGTGTCACCACTATTCTGCGTATTAGCATCGCAGTCGAGACCGGGCTGTAAGGAATGTGCTGAGACAACCCTTTTGGATCACACACACGGTACCCGGGTCCCGACTGGCGGGCAGTCGTTAAGTGTGAATGTCCGTGAGCAGAACCTCGTCTTAAATTTAATAAACTTTATTTTCGTTTAACAAAAGATATTTTTCCTTTCGCACCAGTACCTTTTTCTTTTATTATATTTTAAATATAATAAGTTGTGCTAAACTCAAGTACGTGCACAACAATAATATTATTTTATATTAATATAAATATATTTCTGTGTAGGATTTAATATGATATATATTAGATTTTAATACACGATAATAACCAATATGTATTTTGCAGAAGTGTTTAAGAGGACGCCACACCGAAAACAAAACGCATACAACGACCGAGAGAACGTGCTGTTAAGTGTTTTCACGATGCGCAAGCACGCGACGTTTAAGCCGCGCCCACCACTCGACGTCGGCGGCCGGCCGACGATTGTGCTCATTCATATAATTTATTATCATATGAATAAATAAATAAAAATGTAATTTAATCATTTACCAATAAGTTTGTTGTACTTCAAGCCATGCATATTGAAACTTTGTGAAAACCCTTCTACTATAGCATCGGCTTCCATAGCTGTTGAAGCTTTTTTCCAATTCAAAAAACATAAATGACTGGGTGGATTTTCTTTTTTAACTAAAGCACGCTGACAAATACAGCAATAGCTATTCCTAATACCAATAAATAGTACTTTTTTCGTCTGCAACCCAATTATAGCAGCCTATGAAATTATAAGATCATTTTTTAGTAATAAGGCAGTAGGCACTAATAAAAGTAACAAACAGTAAAATTTACTACGGGATAGTAAATTTAATAGGATTATCCAATTCGAAAAATGTTAAAAAAAACAAAATATTTTCTAAAATGTTACATACAGCTCCAGAAAATGCGTTAAATTTAGTTTTGTAGCTTCTTTTGGACCATTGTCCGTCAGCAATAACGGTACACAGAGGTACTCCTTCTATATCAACATAACCACTTTTTAATGCTATCTGTCGCTCTTTTTCGCCCGCAATTTTCATTTCATCAATAACAGAATCACTGACCGAATCGCTGACAGTGGTTAGATTATGGATGTATGAAGTAGACGATATTGAAGGTATTTCTACCGAGGCACAAAACTCACTAAGTTGTGTGTGACCAATTCCTAAAGTTTTAATAAAAAGACAAAAAATAATTGCATCTATTGATATATTAATATGGATTGTATACCTATATTTTTATTAAAAAGTATAAATTGCGTACCAATTGCCAATGTACCATTTATTACTGCTTGATTAATACCCAAGTACTTTGTATCATTTGAGTTTTCTGATGCGATTTTAGATATGGTACCACACATTTTGCATTCAAATGTGAATATAGAAATGTACCCTTTACGAAGTTCACTTTTAAATTCCATGTCAATAAACAAACAATCAAATTTGTCATACCTACTTTGTTGTATTTGTGTAAATAAATAATTAATATCAACAATCCTACGTCCTTCGACTATACTAAAATTAAAATTATATATAACCGAAATATATTACAAATGAAAGCCATTTAAATATGGAACACTTAATTATTATGTGCATACTTAGTTGCAATTCTATCATTTTCATTATAAAGCTGATCTTCAGTCTGTGAAACTTGTTCTTCTACAGCAGTTATGTTGACATCTATTATAATATTATTCATACCGTATGCATGTAAGGGTGTCGAAGTAAACCTAAATATAATTGATATAATCAATATAATAAATATTAATAATTATTATTATATTATTAGGTATGCTAAGGTAGGCTCACAATTTTATTTATAAGCGTTTAAAGGTCATATTTTTACGAACATTTGAAATTTTTTTTTTTTAGTTATTTTACAGACACAAAAACATTTAAATTTTAGACGCTCGTAAAAATTGTTTAACTGACTTTCACTCAATTTTTTTTATAATTATTTTAATCCAAACCTATGGACAACCTTTTATTAAATTTTCAACTCTTAGCTATGAATACAAATAAATTTATACATTTTGAACAACGTAATAGTTTGCAAATATTCGTGCAATTTTGACGATTTTTTTCAATATTTTAACTTAAAAAAAAATGGTGCATATGTTTTTTGATAATTTTTTAATCCCTCATAGATTAACTTATGTAAAACCTATTGAATTTTAAAGTATTTTGACTCGGCCAAAAAATGTTTACTTATCGACATTTTAAAAAAAAAAAAAAATTGAATATTTAAAATGACTACCTATAACAATTAATGATAAACTTTAAGTTAAATTTTCATGAATTTTTGATCAGCCACATTTCTTTTATAGTCATTTTTTTTACTTTTGACCCCTCAAAGTACATTCACATTGCTACCCGAAAACACCCAAGATTTTTAAGATAGAAGCAAATTTTGTCCTCAGACACAAAAAAAACACACATCATTATAAAATCAATACGTCAAGAATCTAAAACATTACGAATATTTAAAATTTACTTTTTCAATTCAATATTTTCTGATGAGTTGTCAGAGTTCTTATCAACTTTAAAAACTGACAAATCCTGTTCTTCATGTGACGTTACAAACGATGACTCCATATTATCTTCTATACCACTAATACTGTATAATAAATTGAAAATGAATAATATAATAATAATTAATAATTAATAATATTTTCAAGACCAATTATTAAAAACTTATAGACTTACTTTAATTCTGAATGTTCCGTCAAGGATGTATCTAACAATGTTGCATTTAAATCAATGTCATTAGTATTATCATTATTAGTTACTGATTCAGAACCTCTGTAAAGAAGAAAATCCTATTAATTGCACAGTTTCTACATTATAGCTATTGTTATAACCTATACAAATATAGTTACTTGTACAACTAATATTATTTATACATATATAAATATGTTTATTAATAATGTACATATATTTAAAATTTTGTAAAATAAAATAAAAATTGAGAAAAAACGAAGATTTTTACGCAAAACCAGTTTTTAAACTTCAAACACATAAAAAAAATGATAGAAAATACGCTCAAAGTTTTTAAATTCTGAGCGAAGCGAGGAATGTATTGGGTTTACAATGATGTTTATTTAATTATTTTTTCTTGTTTGTAAACACTTTTTCGTGAAATCCTGGACCAAAAGTTTCGTCCAGCAACTTTTTAGATTTGAAATCGAACTGAGATGGTCATTTTTCCAAAATCTCCATAGTTTTTCCTTGAAAGTCGAAAAACTGAGTAATAACGGAAAAATAGGTAAAAATTCGCCGTAAACGATATTTTCACTTTTTTGATTTTAGTTACTTAGTCATACCTCAAAATGTGTTTTTACTAGAAACTTGAAAATTTTTTTCTGTATCAAAGACATACTTCCTTATGTTAAAAAAAATGTCATGCAATTTTGAGCATTTTTCACCTACATATAGAACTTTGAATTCACTTAATTTTTTGAAAGTTATTATGCAATTAAATTTTAAATATTTCATAAAAAGTTCTGAAAATTTAATATGACCTTACTCATATACTTAACTACCGATTCTAAAAAAATTCTAAAATCGCTAGTCAGGATTATTTTGTAACGACCGTGATAAATAAAACCAAAATAGTATCGTTTTTTAATAAATAATTAAATATTTTTTAATAATTATAATGATTCATTTTTACTTACATAAATGGCGAAGCTACAGTTCTATCGGTTTCTAATAGATCAGTCCCTTGAGTACTAGGTTCCCTGTGTATAAAAATAATGTAGGTACGTGTACGTAATAAAATAACCAATAAGTAGGTACAAACTGTATAGTAGTTGAATAAAATAATTAATATTAATAATAATTACTTACCATTTTGATGATTTTTTCCTTAAATTATTTAATCTACATATATTTATTTTTTTACGACTTTTAAGCCTTGACTGTGCTGTTCGCTTTTTTTTGCACTCCAGAAAGTCGTCCATAATTGTATTTAATAAGAATTTTTTAAAAACACAGCAAAAAACAAAAAGTATCTTGTCAACTGATGACATAGGATTGACACACATAAAACAATTAGTATTGTCTGTCAAAAGTCTAAACTCGTCAAAATTTTGACGATAAATAATTTCTAGATAAACTGATAATCATCGCAATCATATAAGGGTTA